AAGTTCTCTCTCTCTCTCTCTCTCTCTCTCTCTCTCTCTCTCTCTCTCTGTATTTGGCTATAGATTTTTCAAAATTAGTGGATAGAGGCAATCAGTATGCAAAAGAAAGTTTTATTTGTTTATTTTTGTATTTCAGGGAAGTGTCTACAGGGTGTTCAGGGTCTCGCTACTAGATCAGACTCGTAGTGATCCTCCTGTTTACAGCCTCCCGAGAGCTGAGATTACAGGTATGCACCACCATGTCCAGTCTCATTTGCCATCTCAGCATGCCCCACGGGCAGGGTGGACAAGGCAGGCCCAGGGATAAAACTCCCAGCCCCTGAACTGGCTTGCAGGCGCTTTAATCCACTGAGCTATTTGGCCAACCCCAAAAGAAAGTTTAGTAAATAACAGTGTAGCAAGCTGTCATTCTCACAAGTGAACAAAAGCAAAATTAACACAATGAGGTAAAGCAAGATTTACGGTTTTTAGTGTGAACACTGTCAAGGGGTCTACACATCTAACTCTTACAGGAAATGGCTTAGCGCATGGCACTGTGACCGTGAACGCTATCAGATACTGCACAGGGCCTCTGGTTGCAGCTGAGGTGGAGCCGGCTTACTAAAGAGCCCTTCTCTCCCACTGCTTGTATCTGGACAGAACACAGAAAGTGATGGCTGAGACTTCCCCAAAGCAAACAGGAGCAGGCAATTTGACAGCTCTGGAGAAAACTTGCATAATGGCTCACCCTAGGGGTGAATCATTCCACCTTTTCTCCTTCTTCTTCCCTCCTCTCCCTCCTCCTTTTCCTTCCTACTGGCTGATACATTGTATCAACTTGAGACATTTAGAAGTTTAATTCAGTGACTCAGCAGAGAGCCAGAATGCTTAGTTTGTAAACATCTTCATCCTGTGCAAGAGGAGGGCATGGACACTGTGTGAGTTCTACACCGCCAGCCCCAGGGTAGCTTGATTATAACATAAGAGGAGGGGAGAGAGGCTGGCTAGAAGCCACAGCTGCTGCCCTTCCCTTAGCTCTTTGTTGTTTTCTGCTGCCATGACCTGCTGCCCTCCGCCTTGGAGCCAGCTGAGCATGGACTGAAACCTCCACTAACTATGAGCTAAATAAATCTTTCCTTCCTTCATTTTAGGTGTTGGGTATTTGTCCCAGCAGTGAGTAAAAAGTAACTGAGACACCCCTCCTGCTCTTCCTTCCATCATCTTCTTCTCTTTCCTTCCCTTCTTTTTTCCTCCCTCCCTCCTTCCTTCCCTCTCTTTCCCCTTCCTTCTTTTCTTCCTTCCTTCTCCTCTTGCTCCTCCACCACTGGCTTTGATCTCAGGATGACGTGCTCAGTCAAAACCGCTCAGTAGATGGACAGCAACACGGACAAACTCCCCTATCACCAGCCAGAAGTTAGGAGAAAGGGTTCCACATATTAGAACATAGAACACATGTGGGAGCGGCCTTTATTACACTGCCAGCTTATTGCCCACCACTCCTATCTGCGAGGGTGGCAGCTCAGGCCTGCCTGCTGGCAACTGGGGCAGCACAGGACCCAAAGCCAAGGGAGACTCCATCTCTCTGGCCCGTGTGACCAGGGTGGGTGAAGCTTTTGATGTCTGCACAGGAAAGAGAGATAATTCTTATCTTCTCCCTTTTTACTCATCTGCTTAGCCCCAGACGCAGGCTCAGTGACACAGAAGTGCGCATCCGCAGAGCAAAAAGTGACAAGGCACACAGTTATGTACCTGCTCGCTGATCAGGGGCAGGGGACCGAAGAAGGGGCCTTTGGGTGTAGGTAAAAGGGAAGCCTGGGAGCCAGAATGTGTGGAAAAAGCTCAGGAAGGAAGGAGCACGCTGACTGTCAGCCTCTTCCTCTCCAGGAAGCCACGTGTGTCTAGGCCACGGTAGCCATGCTAGGAAGAGCAGAATTAAGCCACCAATGCTTTGACTCCTGATGACTCCAGAAAGTATGGTCTGGGCCCCAGACTAAGCCCCATGTGGCTGGAAGGTGACCCGACCTGGGAACCCTCAACCAGAAAGGGACAGAGCTTGTGCTGCAACAGAATGGGGTCCGTGGCCTGTGGAGAGACGAGCTTCTACCTTCTGCACCAGCCTGGAGCAGGACCCAAGTCTTACTTATACCCAAGATTCAGTTCATTCAGCTTATAACCCAAAATTGCCTCCCACACAAAGAACCAGGGAATGCCGAGCATCTCCTTAGGGAAAGACAAGCAATTGTCACAACTCCTGAGGTCCTGGACCTGGGGTGCTTACTCTCCACATGCCTCCTCTCTCCCAGAGCCGCAAGCACTCATACACAAGCCTTCTGAAAGGTGACTGGATGACAGGGTGCTGCGGCTCTTAGGAGGTGGGGTTTGGCTGGAAGAAGCGGGTCCCTAGGGTACAGCTGCCAAGGTTTATCTCCTCTGGGGATTCCTTTTCTTTCTGCTTCCTGGGTGCAATGATATGAGTGGCTTCTCCTCCACCCAGGCCCTTCCTCCAAGCCATCCTTTCTTGAAGCCGGCCAACTGTGGATGAAACACACGAGCCAAAATCAACCATGCCTTTGAACTGCAGGTGTTGAGTCTTTTCTTTTCTTTTACCTTTTCTCAGGTGTTGAGTATTTTGTCCCAGGAATGAGGAAAGAGACTAAGATAAAGACAAGGATTGTTGAAGTAAGAACTTCAACAGGATAAACTTAAGCATCCAGAAAAATCGTAATGACAAAGGAAAATGCCCATCTCATTGCCTAGGTGAAGAACAGAATATAAAATGATATAGAGGGCTGGCCTGATAACTCAGTGGACTAAAGCACCTGCTTAGGCAGAGCACAGCGGCTGGGGTTTGATCCCCAGTGTGCTGTGCTGGCCCCGCCCATGGGGTGTGCTGAGATGGCGATTGAGACTAGGCGTGGTGGTGCACGCGTGTCATACCAGCACTGGGGAAGCTGAAAACAAGAGAATTACTACGAGTCAGATCTACACAGTGAGGCCCTGAAGGCCCTGTAGACCCTGTCTTAAATACAGAAAAAAAAAAAAGTTAAAACAACATAGACTGCCTTACCAATTGTGTCCATAATTGTTAGATGAAATACTTCTATATACAGGGAAATTATGAAAGAAAACCAAGCTGACTGGCCTGTCTGTCTCTGGACAGGCCTAGCAGAGGTGACTGCCACCTTCTCATTTTTGATTCTGCCCCGTTTCCCAAATTGTGCACATCCAACATATTTTATGAGTCAAGAACACCAAATAATTTTCATTCTTTAACCTCAAAGTGAAAAACAAGGAGTGAAACAGTAATGACTCCTTTGCCCGACTTAGTTTGTTAGATACTTGGCCAGAAATGCTGATTTTATTGAGGTTGTTTTTAACTGTTACTGCTGTAGTGGTTTTGCATCATTGTTTCTAACACAAGAGTGTTGGAAACAATTTGTTACAGTGTTCTGTAATAATTCCATACCTTGGATGGATTCTTCTCTGATTTAGGAATGCCATTCCAGACATCCTCCGGGTTCACCAACTCCTCCATGCCATTCAAAAGGTTCAGAACCTACAATGGAAAATGGAATAAAACTTGGACAGCTCCTGAAACTAACTGATTTATGTATCACAGCAAGCCTTAAAAGAAAACACCTTATAAGGCACAGAGAATGATTGTGTTGTATTAAACTTCAATATTAAACTCCCAACTCAATGCTACTTTAGTTCGGAAAGTATACATTGAGTATCTATGCCTGGAGATCAAAGAGGAATGAAATTTAAGCCAGTATCACTCAAAATTTTGTGGAGCAAAGACCGATGAACAGATAGACACAATACAGTGTAGGATGCACAGATACCTCAGCGACCTGCTTCAATACACTTATATACAATGATAGGATACGAATATAAAGCTCTCTGATGGGTGGGGAGTGTTTGAAGATATAGTGAAGTTTAGGAAATGATATCAGTGACTTCTTCCTGAAAGAGACAATGGCTGGGCCAGGGAGATGGCTCAGTAGGATAAGCGCTTGACTGGCAAACTCAAGGACCTGAGTTCAATCCCCGGTTCCACCAAAAAAAAAAAAAAAAAGCTACAGCAAATCCTTATAAGTGGGAATTAACTATTGGGGGAATTTTGGGATGCAATACAGGCAAATGTAACTGTTATGCTACCAAATGCACAAAGCAGCAAACAGAATGGTTATGCACAGACGTCAAGCAGTAGGGTGTCTATCTAATGCAAAGTATAAAATATAAAGAAGTAAGAGTTAGGATACTCAGCCCTCTGGGACTGGGATCTTTATGCCATGTTAATGAGCCTGCCTTTCATCTTGGCCAGTGGTTCTCCAATTTTAATGGCATATGAATGCACATTCTGGAACCAGGTCCCCAGAAATCCTGAATCAGCAGGCCAGACCAAGACTCGGATATCTACAATTAAAAAACTTACCTGGTTCTGGAACAGGTGCTTTTCAGACTACAGGAAAAACACAAGGAGCTGGAAGTCTCTAAAAAGTTTTACTAAGGAATGATATGGTCAGACTTGCACTTGGCCAGCTTCACACTAGTGGCATGGATGATCCATTGAAGATCATCCAGTATAAGTAAGTCAAGTGGAAGGCTAATCCAGTAACATAGCCACAAAAGGAGAGGCCCCACCGAGGTAGAGACCTTAGGTATAAACTGCTCCAAATGAGGACAAAGTGTGCTAGCAGGTGACTACAGGGTTAGGGTCAGTCAGAACCTAGGGTCACTGCTTGCTAGGGATTCTCCAATATGAATGTTTAATAAGGGTTTTGCACTATATCTAATTACCAGGGAGAACAAACAGGTAGATACCCTCTAATTACATTTTTTAAAAAAATGTATTTAGTACAGGGTCTCATTGCACAGATTAGATTCCTAGTGCTCCTCCTGTTTTCAGCCTTCTAAGTGCTGGGATTATAGGTGTGTGCCACCACGCCCAGTCTCAATCCCTGTCTCAGTGCGCCCCAGGGGGCAGAACCGGCACAGCATGCCTGGGATCAAACCCTGGTCCCAGAGCCTGTCTAGGCAGGTGCTTTAATCCGATGAGCTGTCTGGCCGGCCCGATTGCATTCTGTAGCCTGGCAAAAGTCATTAAAATTCCTTAAGTCTGCAAGTACACTTTGAGATAACACATCTGAATTTCACTTACCTTTGTGCCTTCTTCAGTTATTTCCAAAATCTCACATTTAGACCACGTGTTTCTTAGACTCGACCACACCACGCATTTGGATCCAACAGTAAATCCTTTCAGAGAGTAAGTGCTCTGAAGTTGAGCTGCCAAATGGAGTAGAGAAAGATTCGATGTATGTCTCTCAATCCCTTCGTATGATAAAGTACTTTCCTAGTCTGTAGCTATTATTGATATGTAATCAATATCATTTACTACTATATTGTAGTAATGTGTTCACAGCCTTTCTTGTCCTCTTTAAATCTTTCCAGTGTTCCCTCCCTTTCTGCTCCTTTCCTTTTCTTTACATAGATGCAGCCTACACAATGAAAGTTACTACTAAAGTTTGGAGCTTTTGTTAGCAATGATGCTGTCGATAGTCATGAAGGCCATTCCTACAGCAAGCAGCAGGTTGTGAGCCGGTGGCTACTGGTGTCACAAAACCAGTACTTGCTATGACGCGGCTGTGACAATGAGGAAGAAAGAGTTATTGCAAGGTAATAGTTACAGAAATGACAATGCACCCGTTGTCTGGTATACTACACAGTTCAAGTGCTCTGCATCTTACGCTCCGCATTTAGCTCTTAAGCTGTATGCAGAGAAATGTACACCAAGAAAGGAAATGCCTGCAGGAAGCCAGCGCCGTGTGCAGACAGCAGTCACTTCTCCACACTCAGAGGAGGACTTTCATTCTCATTATGCCCTCATTTCCTCTCTGTTGCGTATAATCATTCAAGTTTAACGCTATAAAGATGGACATTTAAAAAGTATAACATTTAAAAACCTAAAACTTAGCTACTTAGTTAACTTCTAAATCTTTGCAAGCAGCAAAGAACGAATAATTTATCAGAAGGTTGGCATGACAAATGCTCTTCAAGCTGCACTTCTGTTATCTTGTGCTGCTTAATATGGGCTCCCTGAATATTTTTTTTTTTAATGAAAGAGTTTAGAAACAAACTACAAAATAAAAGCATGATGAAGGAAGTCTGAAAAGCTAAAAGGATCCCTGTCGCAAAAGTAATTCACCAACCCATATATGACCTTGTTTTTCTTTTTTAATTAATTGGTACAGGGTCTCACCATGTAGCTCAGACTCATAATGACCCTCCTGTCTCCATGCAGTACTGGGCATTGAACCTGGGTCCTTGTTCTTGCCAGGCAGGCACTTAGATCACTGAGCTATCTCCCTAGTCCCATGACCTCATTGTTAAGGCTTAAGTCCTTACACTTTTAATTACTTCAAATGTGTTTGTCTTTTTTTTTTAGTACCAAAAGTGTTTGCCCTTTGAAGACTTTGATTTTTAAGCATTTTATTTTTGAATACAAGGTTCATATTTCAGTACTTTATCTGGTATTATCTTAATTTACATTAATTTCACAACTAATTTTTCCACGCCCTTCATTGCAAGCAGGTATGGTGGTGCAATTCTGTAATATGCGCTACACAGGAGGTTGAGACAGGAGGATTGAAAGTTTGAAGGCAGCCTGGGCAACTTAGCAAGATCCCATAATTAACTAACCAAATAAGTACATAAGATCCCCCTTTAAAATCTAATATGATTCGCCTCTTTGCAATTAATCTTTCTTCATAAAAAACTTATTTGAGAAATTTGTATAATAATTACTCCATTTCCCTTAAAATTAAAAAAAAAAAAAAGAATTTCTGGAAGACACTAAACTAAACTTAAAAGTACAAGAAAACGAACTCACATACCTAAGCCACTATCTGGTGAAGCATGACTTTGTTTCTTTCCATCTCTGTATTCTTCTTCCAGGAGTGAAGGTACCAAGGATGAAATGGCATCCATGTTTCTATATTCTGGAAGTTGCACTTCAAAAAGACTCATTTCTGTATGCATCGTGGGGTCATGGCTCTCCTTGTGGACAAGCACTGGAACCCTGAGCTGCTCATCCACAGGATCCCCACTACCTGCCTCTCTTGTACCCTCTAGATACTCAGGCTCGTGGGCTTTCTCAGCAACTGGCGCAGATGGGGAACCCACGACATCCTCAGGAGACAGTGAGGCTTTGGGAAGTTCCATTTCTGACTGTGTCTCAGACCCACAGCCGTGGAGAAGCTGGACTGGAAATGGCTCTGGGGTAGCTTGGGGGCCACAGCCTCCTAAGAGTGGTGTGATCAGTGGCTCCAGGCTTAAATCCTCTTTGTCTTCATCCCTGATGGGAGATGGTTGTAACTGAAGGGATTCTAGTTCCAAGAATTCTTTCAAGTCTTCATCAGGGGAACGTGGAACCTCAAAGGAATTCAGTTCTAAGATTTCCATGGTTTCACTGGCACGTGGCAATAATGTGTTAAATTCTGTAATTAGGAATTCATCATCAAATACTGCCCGGTTACCCAAGTAGCACTCTTTTGGGATCCCTAGGATAGAAGCAGATCCCCCTTCACAAGGTTTTTCAAAGGCCTTAAAAACTTTCTCAGCTCCACAGAATCTACTTGGTTTGGTTTCAGTGTTTAAACCCTTTGTAGTCCTTTCAGAAAGCTCATCCGCTTGTGGTTCCACAGACAAGGATTTATCTTGGCCTACTATATTGATTGGTTTCTTAAATCCAACATCAGGATGGGAGCACCTAAGGGCTCCCTTGATCTCTGGCCCATCTTTCTCATGAGGCAGGAAGCTCTTGGCAATGTTAACTTTAGAATATTTCTTCATTTTCTCATTAATACTTTCACCTTTGCTTCTCAATTCAACAATTGCTAAAGGGACATCACAAACATCCCTCTTGATTTCTAATATGGCTATGTCCAACACGTCTTCTGTTACTAGTTCATAAAAATAATCATTTCCCTGTTGAGGACAGACACCTTCTGAAACATTAAATCCAGAAAGACAGCATGGAAAGGCCTGCATGGGAATGGATAAGAACTCAGGGGGAATATTCAAGACTGTTTTGGGGTCCATACAGTCTTCAACATTTCCAAAGTCTATAAGCCTGACAGACAAAAGATGATCTTTACGAATATCAATGATGAGTGCTCTATAGTAATGTCCATCTTCTCTATATTTCACCATACAAGGATCTCCAATGCGAGGACTTCGGACACTGTCCCTCCAATCTCTTGTCTGCTTTGCAGCAGCTTGTACTCCAATTTCTAAATATCGAAGTTTCTCAGTATCAGCAAACTGACACCAGAAGTACTCAGGCCCATCTACCACCACAGCATAAGCTTTCACTGTCTTCATTTGAGGATTATGCCAGTTAAGCAACACTGTAGTGTCAAGACCTGATTTATTAGCAGACTTGGCAGTGTCACCTTTCATTGTTTGGGTAGGAAGACATATTTGAGGTTCTCTTCTATAAGTGTATCTGCTCATCATATCTTCTGCTATGATCCCACGTTCGTCGGCAAGGATAACTTCCCATTTCTCTTGAAATTTAACAAATTCACATCTTATTTGCACCTCATCCGTCCTTTGAGAGAAGTAATGCGTCACTTCCTTGCACTTGGCAATGTCAGGAATCCAAAGTCCCCTTAGAGAACAATGAATGCATAGACATGGTAGTAGCACATTCACAGGATCGAGCCTACCGATGTTGTCCGTGTGGACCACAGAAACATTGCCATAATCAATAAACTGCACAGAGAGAAGGTGGTCGGGCTGTTGCTCCCTGACCACAGCTCGATACCACAAACTGTCTTCTGAGAAGACAGCGCATATTACATCTCCTTTTTGCAAAGGACCTGTGTAACGCTCGGGTCCTGTCTTCACATCATTTAATCTCTCTGAAAGCAGATTGATTTCTGCTTCATCTTCTATCAGCTGGACATAAAAGTCAGAAAGGTCATTGATATGTGAAATATACACATTTGTCTTAAAGCCCGGCATTATCATCTTCTGTGGGAACTCATGGAATTTCCGAGGCAGATCTTTGTTATGGGACTCCACTGTCTTCTCTGGAAGGGTGGCATCCTGTTTTGTGGCTTTTAAAGGTGGGTCATCAAAAACGTCCTCTTTCTTTTCTCCTGTAAGTAGCAACCCTTGATTATTAGTGTTCCCCACAGAACACTGAGGGTGAGCGACACAGGTGGTCTTTGTTGAATTTTGTAAGTGTCCGAGTTTGTCCCATGATGAGCTAATTGGAGGCTTGAATGAGTCTCCCAAAGTCTCTGAAGAGCATAACTGGTTCTCTGCTGATTTACTTAAATACTCCATGGGTGAAAACTTCACATTTTCATTATTTTCTTTGAGAGTTTCACTTGTGGAGCTGAGGGTTCCACTTTCTTTCTCTTTGTCCCTTGTTGTGGTTTTGTAACCAAGTAGCCCACACTTCTCATTAATAATAGCATTGATTTGAACACAGTCATCATACAGCTCTATAATCAGTTTTCCACCTGGATCTTTTGCTACGACCAACGCCTTCACTGACTTATCGAAAATAGTCTCCTGAAACCATGTTGTAATTTCCTCTGGTATTTGATTGGGAATATCAGATAATGAACACTTCACAGCTTGCATGGGCAAAAGCAAAACCTCATACGCATCATGAGGTATTGGAAGCAGATTATTACTGGTCACATAAACATTCCCAAAGTCAACAAAGAAAACTTTAGTTGGCTCTTGTTCAATAACTAGTCCCCGGTACCAGTTGCCATCTGTATACCTGGCAAGGCACAAACTTCCAGGGGTCCAGGGTGATGTTTGTGCATTGGGCAAAACTTTAATTAATTCAGTTATGTGACATGACAAATGTTTTAACATATCCCCATTTTTTGCCAGCTGGCAATAAAATGTCAGAGGGTCATCAACGTGCGTTACGCACACTGATTCCTCACTTCCTATTTTCATGTCATGTGCAGAATAGTAGTAGGAGTGCAGCTGGACAGAAGCCTCCAGTGACTTCTGAAGGTTTACTGGTCTGGCCAGTCTCTTTTCTACCAACGTGTGGCATGCGCTCTGAAAAGGAGTCAGTAAATCCACAACACGAAACTGTTCCTTATGTACCGAGAGCACGGCAAATATCGTGCATTTGAATTCTAGACAGTTCTGCTGCGCATTATGCACAAAATCACTGAAGGCCTGGGTTGCCTTTTCATCCCAAACAAAGGGACTTTCACCAGTTGGTTGAATTAAATTATAAAGACTGCACCTGAAAGCCAAAGGTGTGACCTTGAGAAACCTGTCGTCAGTTGAATAAATGTTCTTCATGGGGATCACATCTGTGTCTCCATAATCTATAAAGTGTACTCTGACATGCTCCTCAGACAGTGCCGCCATCACCAGGGCTCTGGACCACTCGCCACTTGCTGCCCGCTTTGCCAAACAAGCAGGAGAGGCCCCCCGGTAAGGGGCTGCTGAGGCTTTGCAATGGTCCTCTATGTCACTCATTAGGGCTCTAATTTTGTGTACATTCCTGGCCAGCTGACACCAGAAATCACCAGGATTTTCAATATGAGACACTTTGACCTCTGCAATACTTCCAACCTCTAGTTCTATTGGAGAAGACCCGGGCTTCCTTGTCAAGGAGTCCAATGGCATAAGAGAAGAGTGAACAGATGCTGCATTCTCTTTTTCCTGTGCAACTCCTCCAGTTGAACTCTTTTTAACCATGGTTGTGTCAATCAAAGCTTGGGAAACAGATAGAGTTTTATCTGTCTCCACTATCTGTTCTTCTACCTTTGTGGTAGAAGGTATTTTCTCATTCTCAACAATGAAATGGTCTGGATTTTGCCCTGGGGAGTGTCCACAGGCTGCCATGCCTTCTGCGGTTTCAAACTCCTGATATCTGGCATAGCCGGCTTGAGTCATAACCTTCCCAATGTTCTCCTCCCCTGCTCTTGACTCACCCAGAATCTCTATGACATACTGCTGTGCCCGCTTGGCAAGGATGTGGATGACCAACTCTTTGTGCAACACAGTCTTTCTGAAGAAAGAGATGGCCTCCTGGCTCCAGGCTGTTCCCAAAGGCCACACATCAGCAAGGGTGCACCTCAGGGCCAGCGCGGGCAGCCGCCTGAACTGGGTGAGCAGCATCCTTAGGTCCCCCCAGTCCACTTGCTCTGTGTTGCCCCTGTCAGCCAGGAAGACCTCCACACTCTTGTCACCCAGTTTGGTCACAATGGCCCGGTAATAGCCATTGTCTTTCCATTTTACGCAGCAGAGTTCTTGGGGCTTGGGTTTCAGGACACCGCCCTCCAGCTTGCTGGCCAAGGAGTAGAAACTGCACATCTTCCTCAGCAGCTTGCTGAAGGCACCGCTATGCTTCTTCAAGCGGATCCAGAACTCAGAGGGGCTGGTGACAAACTCCACTTGGGCATCGTAGAAAGTGCTGGGCTTCAGCCTGATGGATCTTAGGCCCGGGTGGGCAGAGTCTGGGCCCGCCGCCTGCGTTCCTGGGTCCTGCTCCTCTTCCTCATCCTCCTCATCGTCTTCCTCCTCCTCTTGCCCCTCTTCTTCTCCTGAGCTTTGCAAGAACTGGTCGGCTAAGGAGCACGTCTGCTCCCCGAATACGCGGTTGAGGTTGACGCCGTCATCGCCATACAGGGTGACATAGTACACGTGCTCAAAGACGCAGTAGAACTCGATCTTAGCACTCAGTGCACGGCCCAGCAGTAGAGCCCGCAGTTCTCGGACCTGCGCGCGAGACCAGCCCCGCCCGCCATCCCAGAGCCCAAGCAGGGCGCACGGGTAGGTGACCACAGGCATGCGGAAATGCTCGGGCAGCAGGGGGCGCAGGCGGGCGCGGCTCGCGAGCTCCTGGCGCCCCAGGTCCACCAGCAGCACCTGTGCACAGCGCCGCGCCCGCAGCGTGGCCAACAGCAGCGCACGATACCATCGACCGTCCGGCCCGCAGGCGGCGCAGGGTGCACCTGGCTTATCTGGGCTCTCGTCGGGGCTGTCATCCGCACTGTCGCTGGGGGCCCTCGACCGGACAGCCTCAGGCATTCCCGTGGCGCAACCGTAGGCCTGCGCCATGCTCTCCGACAGCTGTCGGATCTCCCGCACCAGCCCGCGGAGCTGGCAGTGCACGCGCAGCGGGTGACACACGTGCGTAACCACCACAGGCTCCGTGACTCCGCACTGCAGTTGTGGGTAGTAGTAGTTGGGGCCCGGAGGCTCCGGCGCGCGGCGCAGCAGGTGGCGCTCCAGCAGAGGGCGGAAGAGGCCGGCCGGCAGGAAGCGCGCCAGGCGCAGCTCCAGCATGCGCTGCGCCACGGCGGGCAGGTCCAGCAGCACTAGAGGCAGAGGCGAGGACAGCACCTCCACCACCCGCCCACGCAGCTCGCAGCCTCGTAGGGCGCTCAGGAAGCGCACGGCTTCCGGGGCCCAGCGTGGCGGCTCTCCCGCCCCGCGGCTCGCAGGCACCAGGCTGGCCAGCACACAGGTCAGCGCCTCGCTGTCCGCCTTGGCGCACCCAGGCAGCGCCCGCAGTACCGCCGGCACTGCATCGGGGCGCGAGTCCACCGAGCACACCCGCAGCACCAGCCAGCACCCAGGCGCTGGAGCCCAGTTCATGGTGACGGGCGCAGCGGGCAGCGGCAGGGGCCACACTGGACCGAGCAGGGGTCGGGTAAGACCGACTGCTCCGGAGAGAGTGGGCCTCGAGGGGCGCGTAGGAGTCCGAGCGGGGCACAACCTGCCTGGGCTTCACGATGAGGATGGGAACCCAAATCGCTGCTGCCAAGTCCCTCCAGCCGGTGCCTGAGAGGGGCCCCGAATACTTGTGCCTAGAAGGGCTCGCGCTGGGCGTTGGGCAGTGAACGGCCGGGCTGCAGGGCGCATGCGCCCCAGAGGACGCAGGCACTGGTGGCCCCCAGCAAGTGGCTGACCCTTTGTGCTCTGTTTCATCCCCTCAGGGGGATGGTAAGGCGGGCGGGGCCATGGCAAATATTCCCTCCTCCAGGTCCGGGTCCTGGCCACCCACTTAGGAAGGTGTTCCTAGTGTGTTCTGAGCTAGCACCATGTGGCCTGGCCGCAGGAAGTCTTCAGATCTGCAGTGTCCGTGGGCTCAGGGGTTAGGACTTCTCCCTGCCTCTACATGTACGCATGTGCAAAACTGCACACATCCCTGGGAGTTTCTCTTACATGGTGCTTTGTAAGACCCAGGCCTGCCAACGCAAATCCCAGCATCTGTCCAGATCAGAGGCCACTATATGCTTCCAGGTCACCGTATCACCCTCTGGTGTCAGTGTGTGTTGGGTGACCACCCATACCCAATCCTTGTGTTACTGATAGCCTAGGGTGGGGATAGTACATATTAGCTAGAGGAATAAACACTGCTTTCTCTAAATGCTTTTGATTTTTTTTTTTCCTGAGAAACTCATTCTTGAATATGCAATTCCATTTCCTAAACTTTGGCTAGGGGCTGGGGAGATAGCTCAGTAGAATAAGGACTTCCCTGGCAAGTGCAAGGGCCTGAGTTCAATCCCTTGTTCCGCCAAACAAACAAACAAAACTTTTGGCTAACTTGGGAAACTGTAAAGGTTCAGATTTTAAAAATAAACCATGTTTCCACTTTTTAATTTGTGTACTAACTCTAAACCACAACAGGAGAGAACAAAACTTTTGATGACAACCCATTAGGCATTTAAAAACATTTATTTTTAAAAATCAGGGGGAGGGGCCATCGTATTTACTCACACATATTCCTGTTTGTTACCAGCTATGCTCAGCAAACAGACTTCTGGAAGCATCTTCATCTGCACTGCGCAACCCTTCCAAGCCGTTCTCACAGCGGTTGGCAGCAGCCTGCTGGGAGTAGCGTATGGGGAGAGAAACAGAACCATGTGTCCCTCAAAATCCAGAAATCACCAAACACCTGAGCGGGTGCGGGTGCGGGTGCGGGTGCATGTGCATCTGCATGGTACCTGGAAAGGCCAAGCGGCAGTAGCATGTCCATTCATCTTCTACAAGGAAGACTAATGTGAGCACATTATTTACATATTAACTATTAATCAACCACTAACCCAATGTTACATTATTTAAAACTATCAAATTCTAGGTCTTGGAGAATAGATATTAAATTGATGGAGGAGGTATTTCTTAAAAATTATGACATATTTAAATATACATGATCTTTGAAAAAGGAAGTTAAGCATTTCATATGCTAAACCAGTTGACAAAATTAGAGGTATTATCCAACATGGAAATGGCATGAAAGGAGCAACTGGAGCGAGAATGGGGGAGGGGGTCAGCCTGCCTACAGGTGCTGTCGGAAGGAGGAAGGCCAGAAGTGTCTTTCTCCCTGAGACAGTATTATGGTTTGTGTTCAGATGTCCCTCCAAAGCATCATGCAGTTATGGGACTGGCTTCTAGAGTTTATGACTAATTCATGATCTGATGCTGGATCACGGGTGTACTACACTCTTCCTGAAGCCAGCAGCCTGCAAACAATAGAAGGGAGGGAAAGAGGCTTGCTCTCAGCTGCTCCTCCCTTTTTACTGTTTTCTGGCACCATGAACTGCTGCCCATGTGCTGTGCTGCTTTGGAGCCAGCCGATGATGGACTGAAACTTCCACAGACTGGAAGCTGAATAAACCTTAATTTTGAGCATTGGGTATTTTGTCTCAGCAATGAGAGAAGCATAACCAAGACAGACTTTGGTACCAGAGGAGTGGGGTCGTTGCTGTAACTATACCGGACCATGTGGTTTAAGAGCCTTTGGGAATGGCTTGTGGAAAGTTTGAAAAGGTTTGGAGATGTCACCTGAAAAAGTACAGCTGGAACGCCACAGGCTGCTCTATGGGAGATTCTGTTCAGAACTCAGAAGAGTAGAAAACAGGTAAAGACCAGGCTTGGAAAGTTTCTGCTGGGAAGGAGGACTGTATTGGTTGTTGGGAGTGCAGACAAGGGGTGAAATGGCTAGGCAGAATGTCCTGTCTGCATTTTGCTCATGTCCAAAGACTGCCTGAGACTGAGACTGAGATTAAGGGCAGTGGCAGTCCACTGGCAAATGACATTAGTCTGGCAAATGAAATTTGAAGACATTATAATGTTGGGGCAGTGGCATGGATATTGTTGGGGGCTTTCAGTCAGATTTATGTTGAGAATCAAGAGCAAAGAGCCCAGCACAATTATTTAAAAAGTTGTGAGTCAGGCCAGAAAGGAAGCTCTAATAAAGCTGTGAGCTGCAAAGATAGAGCTGAGGCGATCTCAATTGCTAAGAAGAAACAGGAAAATAGAAAAGATGGTCTGAGGGCATCATTAGGAGCTGGCATGGAAGCCGCCCACCCCAGGGTGAGGGCAGCACTTACACCCATGAATCAATCATAAACTCTAGAAGCCCGCCCCATGACCGCATGAGGCTCTGGGAGGACATCTAGACTCAAACCATGACAGGTGTCTTTCTCTCTGAGATAGATTTAAAGATGAGACAGTCCAGTTACCTAAGTTGGGTTATAAAGTCTTCCCAATCTTCAAATATGAGCAAATAAAAAAAGCCCTATTTTTAAAACATGACATCACTGTCCCCCTTTAAGGCTAGACAAGGTAAGACTCCAGGTCACTTCACCTTACAGAGAAATGGAAATTCACCACTCTTAGGAGATCCCAACACACAATAAGGGTCTTTTACAGTGCCGGGTGTTTTTCTTTCACATTTCCTGACATTCAGTAATATACATTTGGTAATTGTCTTTACAGTCCTGTTGTCTTTTTTTTTTTTTGTGTGTGTGTGTGTGTGTGTGAGAGAGAGAGAGAGAGAGAGAGAGAGAGAGAGAGAGAGAGAGAGAGAGATCCTGTATTAACCCCCTCATTTTTAGAACAAGTATTAAAATTAAGCATTTTTCTAAGGGAAGTCCTGAAGAAATGTTGACCTGATCCAAATTAGACAAATTGTAGGTAGGACTTTCCTTTCCTTATTTTTGTTGTCGGAAGCTGGTGTCAGCATACATTTTCTCTATCTGAACTGGTCTCATTTGTTTGATATGTTAAAGACTTTGATTTTGGTTTTCAAGGAAATGACATTAAATGCAATATTATTTATCATAAAAAAGAGAAAATCACATATATCAATTGTAAACACATATGCACATATGCTTGAAGATTTGGAGATGACAGAACAGAACTTTTATTTTCCATGTAAAAGTCCCTGAGTTTCTTTTTGTTAACAAAGTGAAAGTGGAATTTCAGACTCTCACAAAACAAAATTCTTAAAATAATAAAGACAAAATTAGATGATTTATGTTATATATGCTGTAGTTGTAGTCAATGTTTCCTGAGGGCTTGCTTAACCAGCAAAAAAGGATATGTGAGCAGAAATTCAACTGCAAAATGTGTTCTGCTCACTAGTGGGTTACAACCAAATAAGACACAGAGCCCATGGAAAACACACCTACTCCTAAGAAGAAATGGAAGAAAGGCTGTAACTTTAATTACATAGATATGCCCATTAGAGAACAAAGAACTACACACAACTAAGAAATGCATATACTTTGCAATAAGAAAAAAGCATTTAAGAGAAAACAATGTGATAGCAAAATAAAAGGGATGGGAATGGGAAGAATTACTAATATTGAACTAGAGAAAAAGAATAGAACTGAAGGAAAAAAGTGAGCAACTGCTCCATCTATGAATACACACACTCTGTCCTCCTTGTATTTACCATGGACTGTATGCAAAGGAACCAGAAGGTTCCAACTTCACAAAAATAAAGCAAGTTTCTCTGATCACTGAGGAAGGTGATGAGATAGATGTTAAACATAGTATTTGGTCAGATTTTGGAGGGTCACGGATCGAACTGAAGGTCCAGTGACTCCATTCTAAAATTTACACTACAGGCAATTTAAAATGTCTAAGAACACCTCCCTACCCCCCAAAAATATGTTTTGGAAACATTTTTGGAAGATCTAGTGTACTGGCCTGGGCTAGCACGAAGATGGTGTGAGATACAACTTGGTACTTAAATGGTGCCTGGGAACTATACCTTGCTGTAGGCATAATTTGTAAGTCTGCTTTTTTGTCCTGGTTCTGCTACTAAAGGTCTTAGTGTGGGGAGCTGGCAGGACTTCTCAGGCCTCAGTCTCTTACTAAGATAAGGTTAAACTGATGTTCTCAGGGAGTCTTTTATTTAGGATCCAAATCCATTGTTGACATTGATTTGGATACCAAGGAACAGTGTCGTGGTTAGGGCCTCACAATTGGGTCCCACCCAACCTGAAGAGAAAAACCTTGGGCAGATCAGTCTGTTCAAACAGGAAAGCCCCTTCATTCAACTGAGAAACAAAACTAAGACTTTGTGAGGACGGCTCCCAGGCCAGCTCTCAGGCTTAAGGAAAACCCTGTAAATCTACAGAATAACACATGGTAAGTCAGCAGAGTACCACTCTCATCCTGTACTTCCCGCCCCTCAGAGGTGCCAGACCTACTCACGACCCCCAAGAAACTTGAAATTTTCCATCTTCCTCTGGGAAACACGCCCTCCCATACCTCGGCTATAAGGCTGGCTCTCTTCCTTGTTCGTGGTCAATGGCTTTCTCACCCTTGGCCAGGTTTCGCCCGGCCTGAAGACCTCGCCATTTGCTTTACCCCTGCTTGTCCTAGTGGTCTAGTCAACATTTAAGCAATGTCTTACTCCCACATCCCCCTCCCGCAAAGAACGGAGCTAAATCAGTTTCTCATAGTTCACTTTGCGTATAATTATTTTGATGACATTTTTATATAATTTTAAAAATTACAAAACATAAAAAAAAAGTTTCCCCAATACAGTTCTATGCAGAACACTGGGGAATTTAAGCACACAATATATATATTAAATATATTTGACAACTTGATTTCAGATTGACAAACACAATGGGAAAGTAGACAATTCAAAGCTTTGAAAAGATTAAACTACATTCTGCAACTAGAAAAATGACAGGCTACTACATATTAGCACAGCACACTAACGCACATCCTAAAGTGTCCTCTCCCTTGGAAAATGGCAGTGTTTATACATTGGTTCAGCCATGTAGCACTTACAGCTGCTTTTAGCCCAGTGCCAATCCCGCCCACTGTAAATTCTATTTGCTTAGTGCCACAGTCTTTCTTGGGCCTGCTCTTCGGAGCTTTGTTTCTTCAACAGGTTCAGCCTCCACCCATATCTGATATTATCCATCCAGAATGTCACTTTCTATTTTTTTTTTAAATTTGGTACAGGGTCTCAATATGCAGTTCAGACTCGCAGTGATCCTCCTGTCTCTACCTCCCCAGCTGTGTGATTACAGGTATGTGCCACCACACCCGGTTCTGGTGGCTGGCTCTGAGTGCCTGGGGTTCCAGGGCTGGCATGGCATGTGGTACTGGGGATCGAGCGCAGGTCCTTGCACCTGCCATGTAGGTGCCTAGACCACAGGTTATCTCCCCACCCCCAAAATGTCACTCTGAGATTCAGTGGAGCTGGTGAACCTGGAAAGATCACTTACCTTTCTAAAATAAGAAAAGGAATTTAATTTGAAGGTTGGAGACATGACTGTGCCAGTTTAATCTCATTTCAGGCAAGACGCTTTATCAGGCTGAGATTCAGTGGGTGATGCTCTGAGTTTTCATCCGCTCTTCTTCTCTTGGAGCCACTAGTGTCAGGGGAGGGATAAGGACCCACAGAGCTAGCTGGCTTCTTCTCCTCTTGCTTTTGAATACCACTGAAGGGCTGCTGGCAGCAAAAGGTCCTTTGTAAGAGGACCTGCACCGCTATGCTTTGATCACGACTTGTAGATCACAGGTCAGGAGTCCTGCAAGCTGGTGGCGAGTCTGAGTCGTAAGAGGAACCGTTGCCAAGGATCCCGGGTCTGCGGCTGTCGGGAAGTTACTGCTGGCAAGTGTGGAGATGAATTAGTGCCACCCTACTGACCGCAGGGACAGCAACCTCATCTGTCCTTGAAACACAAACACCATCTCAACTTGACTTCATTCATCCTCCTTGCAAGGAAAGGCACATGGACTTCCTTCAATATGAGGGAATTTCAAAATGTTTATTCATGAACTTTCATTTGCCTCCCTTTAGTTCATTCCATATGCATTTTAACAACAGAACAGCACGTGGATGAACTTCGGCTATAAACACTGACGCAGCAGGTGGGGTACACTTCTGACGCACTGGTGTGTATAGATGTACATATGCGCATATATTGCTCCAGGTCCCTGCCGTCTGCCCAGATCCCAGAGGCTGGTGCCCGCCTGCTCCTCCTCTTCCTGGTAAGCGCCTCCTCGCACAGAGCAGTGTCAGAGGCCAGGCCTTCCTGCCAAGGTGAGAGTGGCCAGGGTTCTCTTCTTCTTTATGAACACTGTGCTGGCTCTCACCGGGTGGTCTTGTGAGATCGGACTAGATCACTTTTAGACAAAAAGAGGAGTCAAAGAGAACTTGGGTTTCCAGGGGAAAAACAAAGTGCTGCCCCCTATAAATCACAGTCTCAGTGGAGTAGTGTCTTCCTAAAGAGGTAGAAATAATAGGGGGTATGTGTTGCAGATGCCCACATTCAGTATCCTGAGCACTGTATCTGTAAGGGCTTAAAATGGGCTGACTCCACTCAGCTCTCTGATTTTTTCATAAGTGAGCCAGAACACCAATGACCAAGGGGTCTGAAAGATTAACCAAAGAAGTTAGTGTATATTTCAACGCAATGAAATCAGTCGTCTACATATATGCATTTACATCATTCAGTGACAAAGTCATTCTGAATTCACTGAAGCTGAAAACAAGTATTTGGTCTTTTACCTTTGTGAGGAGGTATTTTATCATTTACAAAGTGTCTTAATGTCTCATTTATCACAAATTTCTCTAAGAGACAGTTGGTATAAGATAGGAATCATAAATATTCCTACTTTACAGATGAGCACTGAGGCTTAGCCGTCGGATGCTTGCTGGTGTGGGGCGGAGCGGAACCAGAGGCTCCTGTTGTCCATCCTAAAGGGGCTTCCACTGGACCCACCCACTGACGGGCTAGGACTTAGGACACCTGACTTCTATTTAAGCCACTCACCATGGGTTTTGCACATGTAGTGTGACCACTTGACATGTCACACTTATTTAATAAGTTAGATGTCTCACAACAGCTGCAAGGCTTGACTTTGAGTTGAACAAAGACATAGTTAACTAGAGAAATTAGGGAAGAATACAGGCTGGAAGAAGATATAAATGCTAAGGGGTAAACATTGGGACAAAGAAAAGGATCTAACTGGATTTAATTTCTGATCACGACATATCAGAGATGAACTCTATCATATTCAAGACAAGCTTAAGCAATTAAGAGTGCAGAATGTATTTGCGTAGAGTTTGTAATGCAACATGCAAAATCTTGAGCATTTTATGTTTTACTGGTAAGAGAATTCATTAAATAGCAGATTTAGGAAAATATCTTTGTCAGACATAGATAAAATAAGGAATACAGCAGTGTGAAGATACTCTATTTTTATGAAAATAAAAATGAAGCGAGCCACCATCACCGCCGTGGATGCAGTCACCCCTACCTGCTGTGGGAGTCAGAGCTCCTCATGCCAATGGCAGCAGGGTAGCAGCAAAACCACTGGGCAAATGAAACCGGCCTCAGCAGCACAAAGCAGCACAAGTCTGGCTGCCTCCAGCTGGTAGCAGGGCTAGCGACGGAGTGTGGTTGCGTTCCAGTAGGCGTAACGGGGGATCCTGTGGCTGAAGAGTATGGTAGGAAGTGCCTGGGGTCTAGCCGCCCCTCGCGGCAGTGCAGGGGTACACTGCATGCGCTCAGCGGTTTTCTCCCTGACATAGCTCAGATGCTATCTGCGCTGCCAGCACAGGGGAATCAGTGTGGCTTCCTCTGGTCTGGCTTTTGCTGAAACTCCTGGGAAAATGCAGTCTTTCCCATGCCTGTTACTGTGGAGCTGGACCCAGGAGCGTTCTCTTGGATGGATATTCTTACATGTAAGTTGACAAGAAAGCTTTCTCTACGCAACTCTGTGCTAGCACACAGCCTCAGACCGCGTGGCTTTGGGACAGTGTGCTGTCCTGGGGTCGCCAGCACATGGACTGATCGTGTATGCAACGTGAGCATGCCCAAGCGGGGTTCTGGCCTAGCACCGCTGTCCAGGAATTCAGCTGGTGAAGCTGCACTGTCAAGGCCCACTTCCTTGGAGAAGCTTAGGAGTCAGGCTTCTGTGTTCTGAGTCACCAAGTGGGGCAAACCCACAAGGTGGTAGTTCTGGTGACCTGGGTGATTACTGGCATTTCTTAGACAACTCCTCTCCTCACTATAACCTTTCTTCCTTCAATGTTTCTGTAAAGCAGCCATAGATCTTGAGCATCTTCACACCTACTGCAGCACAAAGGGAAGGGCAGGAGCCAAGCAGACCTGCAGTTAGTTTCCGGCTCTGCCACACACAAGCTCTCTGATCTGGCTGTTCTTTTTGTGTTAATCAATACCTAGTTACTCTCTGGGTTCACTGATGCCTAAAGCTTCAGTGACCACTATCTGTGGGCAGTGCTCAAACCCGAATCTCTATCCCCAGTTTTCTACTGACTTGGATCCTAAGCTGGCCCCCCAGACATCTCAATCCAAATGTTCTGTGGGTATCCAAATGCCCAAATGACTGTGGATAAACTACAAACCTTCTTCCCTGCCGAAGACCCTCACTTGGACCAACTGCCCAGGGCCTGATGGTTCCCTTCCTCTCCATCTTTTCTCTCATCCTCAATCAGGTCTCTACCTCTGAAATCCTAAGACCCTTTCCAGTCACCTTCTGCCCCACCAGCAAACTCTCAACTTATCTTTCATTTATCACTATATAAAGCCTTTTCCAAACTCAGGGAAGCCCAAAAAATCTTCCTGAGAATGCAGATTCCACTGGCCCTGGCCAGGGCTATAAATCCCAGGCCCCTCCCCCTGCTGCTCTTCTGTAGTCTGGGTACCCTGGCCCGCTGGGCATCCTGCAGCTAAAGTCCTCATCAAGCTGTTCATGCCCACTGTCACCTTCTGTGTCCCTCGGGCCTGGCTAAATCTTACTCTTCTTTGAAATCTCAGTTCCCGTATCTTCAGGGAGGGCTCCTTAATCACCCAGCATAGGCAGCATGGACAGCACCTAGCACTCAACTCAGAACACAGACCACTTCCAGCTTCTTACGCCTGGCAAGGTCCTCAGTGCAGGACTTTGCACGGAGAGAGGGCTCCAGCAAAGATATATAAAATATTACACCTTATGTTATATTAATCTTTGAGCATTTGAGTTTCTAAACTACAACTCATCTATTTTTAAAAAATATTTTCTAACTTACAAAGATTTGTATGTCTGACTTTTATTATACTTGCTATATTATACTTGTAAGCACACCTACTTCCATATCTTAGTTCACATAAGTAAAAAATGACATCTAAACAAAACAAGAATGATATAATGCTTTCTTACAAAGTGGAGTTTGTGTGTGTGTGACAGTGTTAATGTAATATTTACTATCAAAATAACAAATTTTGCTTGAAAAAAATAAAATTTTCCTAAGAAAGTTCTCTCCTGTGAAATCTATGCACCTATCGCAATCAATTACATTTTAGCTGCAAAGCTTTGTGAAGGATTTATACTACCAGAGGCCGATCTTTGGGCTACTCGCATCCTAGTTTTTAATGGAGGTGCAGTGGTAGCTCAGGGCAGGAACTTAATTCTTTCCACTATTCTGGGCGGAAACCAAGTGGGCTGAGAACCAAATCCAATTCAATGGTGATACGCAGTGTTTCTTATGGGGACATTTGATTCCGTCTTATCCAGCACGGTCTGTGTCCAGAATCATGGAGAGAACTGAGTTCGCGAACCGAAGCACCACTCTCAGTGATGCATTTCAGCTCGATCTGCCAAGGAAGGCAGAACAGTTCTGAGGAGAGGTAAAGGAAAACTAAAAATGATTTTTACCAAAAAAAAAGGTGGGCCTTGATTTGAGGTTCAGCCCATGCTACAAAACCAGAAGAGAGAACAGAAAATATTTATGGATTGACACCAGTTTAAATATAAAGAAAAGAAGAAAGAAGAAGAAAAGAATCCTGACTTTACCATTCGCAGCCAAGACGGTAAAAAGCCCTTGTACAGACTCATGAACCCTTCACCCTGAACAGCCTGAACCAAGCAGTCGGTCGACGATTTGTACAAAAGCCCCCTGGGGAGGAAAGCAGAGAGCTCCGTTAAGTTGCTTCCGAGTATGCACCTGCACAGACCAAATGAAACAGCTGAAGGATGCGTCTTCTACTAGGTGTGGGTGCAGATGCAGAAAGCTTCGCTGGAGCTACAGCTAACTCTACGGTGGATGTTCTGTCTCGCCCACCCCTGGTCTTGTACTTACTCATGTCACCTGACTCTTCCAGAGAGAGCACTCTATTTTCTATCAAATTGAATTCTCCATGTTACCTGAAAGTCCTAAGCTTCTGAAGAAAGCGCTCTGTGAATTCTCAGCACAGTATGCTTTCACACACTCTTTGAAAACAATAAAGTCACAATGAATACCTCGTGTCTAAATACTATGACTGCCACTTAGCTTCTTTCCCCAAATTCACAGTAGTTTTTCATCAAAGAGTGGGTAATTACATAAAAACAATTTCCTCATTAAACACCAACATAGATTTCCGTCAAGAATAACTACATCTTTAAAGAAACAATATTACCAACATTCAAACCCATGAATACTGAGGAGTTTCCAATTACCTTCCTTGTTTATCTCGTGGCTGGTTCATTATTCGGCTTTTGATGACATCAGCTGGTGTTCCCAAAATAGACGCTACCAGTCCCGAACACAAGCTGTGGTACAAAGAAATGAAATGGAAAGCTACTACACAGTAGCCTCTAAAGTTTAAGCATGGAGAATTGATATTGAAAAAGATATTTTTAAAAAATAGAAAATGAAATATGTTACTAGACTATTCTTCACCATTATGCTTTTTTTAGTTTAAAATTAACGCTGAATACAGTGGTGAGGCAGAAAAAAAAAATATACAAAGAATGTCAGCCTACAAATATGCACTGCACACTTGCCGGGCTGGGCCCCGTGTAGACACAAAGGGCAGGAAAGACAGCCCCCGCAGCTCATGGCTGTGTGCGAAGAGGCCACAGGAATCGGGACCTGACACACTGACAAGTGCAATAGAAAATAAAGCAGGACCGCGTGACCGAGTCTCTGGGTGATGACAGCAGACAGGAAAAGGCCCCAGGGTGGCAGCAGGAGGCAGTCACCTTGAAGAACCCTGGAGGGGTAGCAGTACAAACAGATGGGAGGGCAGGGACCAGAGCCCAAGGCAGGGGAGCTCCTGGTATGCTTAGGGACCGCTGATTGGACACCGTAAAAACTATGGAGCATCTCAGCAGCGCAGAGGGAGTGAGGACACAAGCCAACCTCGTAGCTACTGAAAAGGAATGGGTTCTAAGGGAGAAGGTGAAAGCATGTTGTGAAGACAGTAAGGCTGTGTCCCATTCTAAAACACCTTCCTTCCTCTCCCTGTGCAGGAAAAGCCTACTGCTTCAGATAATCTGTAATCTGACTCCTGGGCCCTTCCAGGTTCCTCTGTTCTTCCACTGCCCTGTCAGTGACTCATCTTGCTGCCCCTGCCGGAAGCTCCAGGTAGGACTTGCGCATCTGTACTGACTCCACCAGCCTGTAGCACAGTGCCCTTCACAGAAAGGTTCTGCCCTGGGATGCTACCACAGGGGCACATTCTCTGGGAGGTTTCACCTGCAATTTCATCTCATTTTGTCTGTCTTTTCCCCTTTAACAAAATTACTCTTTCTAAAGGTACCACCATATTTCTCTAGGGGTAATACCACTAGATTCCCGATCAAAAGAGACCAAAAGTTATAATTTTCCCCCAGATGGAAGAAAAGATTCAGAGCAGAAAATAAGAGTCCAACTAAAGCAATCACTTACCTGGACAAACCATGAGTCATGATATTGTCCTCAAGTGGTGTATTCAAAACCAAGTAGTGTTTCACTGTGTCGTAAGTGGTTAAATCTGGCAATGGAAAGAGAAGGCTTAAATGTTCCTGTGTATAAGATTGAATGTCTTTTGGGTTGAAAATATGCTAGGCTTGGGGTAGCAACGTGCCCCAGAACAAAAGGTGGAGGAAGGGAGGGCTATGAGTGCAGGGAGAAGACAAGAGGAAGAGACAGGCACTCCCCTGGACTGCTAGAACCTTGGAGTCCACACAGGCCCGAAGGCAGCTCAGCCCTGCAGTCTCTGCTTGCCAAATGACAAATGCCTCTGTGAGCCCAAGGCCGAGTAAAGCCCTGCACTATAAACAACTGTCCCAACCACTGTTCCACATCAAACTTCTTACACTTTTTTCTATGGAAAACAGAGCTATTAAAGGGTTCAAGGAGGAGGCTGACATCATAATATTGGATTTTTATAAAGAATACCCACACCATGCATAAAGAAATAAACTAATGAAGGCAAGCGAGAACAGGCACATCCGACTGTTCACCAAGTATCTCAGTGCCTACATGTGCCTGGCCCCAGGAGATAAGAGCCACGGATAAGACAAACACTAAGGCCTGTTCTCTGCTACAGGAAGATGCTCCTATTCCTGATATGAGAGCCTACAGTGCTCAAGGCAACCACGACTTCTTGGCATCCAGGAATGCTTCCATTACCTCCCATGTTTACCAGCGCTGCTCTTTGGATATTGGGTATCCAGCCGGCCCACAGCCCACGAATTCCTCCTTCTGCTAAGATTTTTGCAAATGCATGATGCACACCACGAAATCTAAGGAATACAAAAATGAAGTGTGAAAATGATGTATCCTTGCATGTAGAATGTATTGGATAAGCTTTGCCTATAGCTGTTAAAATTTAAAGTAATATTTATTCAAAACTGTTAAAGTAAAAGAATATGCATGAGTCTAATTTCCAGATAAACTTCATTCTTTAACATAAAGGTCAACACTTAATTGAAACATTTTTTAGCAAAAATCACTACAAATTGTGTTACCTTCTTTTTCTCAGATTTTTTCAAGGACTAAAAATACTGTTCTTGACAGGTCATCATCAGACAAACTAACTACAGAAGGAAAGAATAGTTGTTAGATTTCTGGGTTTATTTTATTGGCGATGAAGAGGACCTGTGATCTTTAAAATTCTGCCACATGGCATTAAAAAAATCACTGACTCTCAGGGATAGGGGCAGCTCAGTGTGCAGTGCTTGCCTGGCACACTACTACACAGGGCCCTGGGTTCAATCCCCAGCAATGAAAACACACACACACCCACCCACCCACCATCACACACAGCACTAAAAACATGCATGCACACATGCGCGTGTACACACACACACAATCATTGGCTCTCACATCCTCTCACACAATAAACAATATTTTAGGGCAAAGAAGTAGAAAGGATAATTAATCTAAGCATTCTTAGGGTCATTTTAGCTTTGTGAAAATTTACTATCCCATTTTTTTTCTTTCTCGTATTTCTGGAGACAGATGAAAACTGATGCTGAATCTGAACCAAACCCGGAAACCTGTTATACAACAAAATTCTGGGCTTTTACAGTTAGAAAAATCTGCAGTCAAATGCTGCCTTTCTCACTTCCGACGTGTGGTTTGTACACAGGCATTACCTGCTCTGAATCTCTTGCAAAGGACAACAGGTCAATCTTGACGTGGATGACTGTTACTAAGCTACACGGGAAGTTTTAACAACAAACTATGATTCTCGCTAAAATGCACTGATCACCTAGTAAGTGCCAGGCATTTATATTCAAAAGATGAATTTTAATCCTGAAAACTCTAGGAAATACATATTTATGTTTGAGAAAACCGTGGCTACAAAGGTTAAAGAACTTGACTGCTATGACAAAGCTAAAGTGTGATAAAGGTTGGCTTTGGGTTTCTGGGATTGTCCCAAGGTTCATATTCCTTATTACAGTATTAAAATATTAAGAAGAGAGAAATCAAAACTTGCCAGTGTTGGAGATGGAGAAGAAAACAATTGGGGAATGAACTAAAAATGCAGGTATTTTGGGATTTTTTTAAAAGCTGGTTTTCCTCTTCAACCCAGGCAAAGTCCCACCATTTCTTCTTGATACTTGGTAATTGCACATTGTTTCAAAAGAAGAAAATCGGCCCTGGCATTCTATAAACTCCTTCTTCAGTCATAATTGTGTCTTTTCTCCTCTTGGAAATAATAGGATTTTATACTATAAAAGCATAATAATAAAATCTTTAAACATCCTAAACGAGGGCCTTAGTATGTAGGAGAACTAAGATCAGACAAGAAAGTGAGAACAGGGTTAAGGAGATAGCTCAGCAGTCTAAGCGCCTGCCTGGCAAATGCAAGGACTGGAGTTTGATTCCCAGTAGCACACACTGTGCTGGCCCCAGAACCAGGCATGGTGGCGCACGCCTATAACCCCAGTGCTGGGGAGGCTGAGACAACAGGATCACTACCAAGTCTGAGCTGCATAGTAAGACCTCGTATCCAACAAAAAAGGAAAAAGAAAGAATGGGAACAATTTGTAAGACTGACCTTATTACTTTCCTTTCTGGGAAAAAGATGAAAAATCAAGGCTTTTAGAGCCATTTGAGAGAGAAATGGAAAGGTTTGGTGACGTCCACAACACCAAGCTACAGTGGCAAAGCTGGGGTTTATACCAGGACAGACTTTAATGATCAGTTTTTGTAGCACAACCCACATAGGGGACAAGTCTAAATGCAGGGGCTAGGGGCTGCAGGGGAGAGTTCGGAATGCCTGTGTTTGCCTGACAAAGAACACATACATTTCACTGTGTAAAGAAAAGATCCTGGTTGGCTGGCAGAATTAATACTATCCGTGAACTGCAAAAGTGAGTGTACCAGGTAACTGCTGAAGCTGTGATGGAGGCAAGGGAAGGGGAAAGTATCAGTTAATTGGAAAACGTACCTCAGTGGCTTCCCTTCGAGTTTCCGTTTGCCTTCCATCTGCATCTGAACCTTCACTAGGTCGGTTGGATTGGCTAAAAATTGGCCAATAACACCAGCCATCATCCCTCCAATGACCGATTTCCTAATTGCAAAAGAAGTTATGTTTTCCCTTTGAAAGTTGCCTGTGACTTCAACATATACAGTTGGCATTACAGTGAACTAATGGTAAGCTCTGGGTAAGAAGTTAGGACAAAGTGAAGCAGAGGACAGACCCAAATACACACAGGAAAAGAAAGTACGTGGTTTGGTTGTTCATGGTGGGGCTAGCGGGCCACAAAGAATGAAACTAAAATTTTGAAGGTTCAAGCCTTCCCTGCCCTGAGATCAACAGGGAAGGAACAGCCTTCAAAGACAAACAGCTGAGTAGATAATCTAACTCTCGTTTAATCCTGACTACAGGAGAATAAAAACAGCATAGAAGCAATCCACCTAAAAGACAAAGGCTGGTAGTCCAAATGGTCAAAACTACCAGTTTAAGTAGTCTCCCAAATGAAGGGGAAGTGAAAACACTTCTTTTTCTAAAGAAACTTTCTGGGGCTGGGGAGATAGCTCGGTGGGCTAAGTGCCTGCCTAGCAAGCACAAGGCCCCAAGTTCAATCCTCAGTCTGGCATACCGGCCACTGAGACCAAGCGTGGTGGTAGACACCTGTAATCACAGCGCTGGGGAGGCTGAGACAGGAGGATCACTATGAGTCTGAGCTGTACAGTGAGACCCTGTACCAAATAAATAAATAAATGATTAAAATTTAAAAAAAATAAACTTTCCATTGCTGAATAGGTCCCTCTTTTCCCAGCTCAGCCATCAGTGAGCACTAAATGATTATAATGACAGAAGGACCTGGGCCGAAGGATCACACACCTACACTTTTTAATAAGTAGATTATGCTACAAAAAGACTATGGCTGCTTACATTTCCCCTCAGTTTAAGAACGATTAGTTCAATTAACTTCCTTATTATTGATGAGAGTGAACATTTTTACATTTTTGATGAACATATGTATTTCTTTTTGGGGGGAACGATCAATACCCTTTCCTTATTTTTCCACTGTGTTCATGTTTTTATTGCTTTACTGGTTGGAAATTCTATACACATTCTTTATAGTAACCTACTTTTTAATGTCTTTAAGTGATACGCACTTGTAAATGTTACCTTTTCGATAACAAAAGCCTAATAGTAGGTCTGACTTCTACAGCTAGAAAACCAAAAGAAAAGCAGGTAAAGATCTTTTTCAAGTTATAGGAAAGCAGAGTGGGAATCTGAGCCCCTCTCTGCCTGACCCTAAAGTCCAAAGCTCCTCCACAACAGGGAGAAAGAAGGCCCCCCTCCAGGTCACCAATGTTATGAGGGTTGCAAGCCAGCAACAACACGAGGATGGTATGAGTCTCACAGAGAGTTATGGAATGGATATTATTCTAGGGACCAGCCTGAATCAGACAGAAAGGCTAGACGCAGAGGGTTTGCACCTGAGCCACCTCCAGAGCTGGGGCTCAGCCACAGGCGATCTGAAGGTGAGGGGAGCAATCACAGCCAGGCGACACCCACAGGCTCTGTCTCAGCACTGTGCTCTTCCCTTGGCAGCTGGTGATGCCCAGGACAAGGTGCTGACTGTGAGGGGGCCAGTGCAATCACAGAAGGGGGCTTATGCAGAAGAATAGGTGACAGAGATGCTGAAGAGATGCTGGGAGACCCGAGAGCTGGGTCTCCAAAAGGTCAAAGATGGAGAGGACTCAACCATTAAAATACACAATCCTAGCACATATATCCAAGTTACCTTCTTCTTGCCTTCTATTTTAATGTTAAAGTAAAAAATATTTTAAAAGAAGCTTTTGTTATGTATATACACTATGCTATGAATTTCATAGGCTCTAGAAAATTCCTCTTCATGTAAAACAATGAGGGCAAAGGAAAGATGAGCCTTAGGTTGGCCAAGCCAGGAATTATAACTTAAGGCAATTTTAATACAAATGTATAGTTCTACATAAATCCTGTAGGTAAACATAAGTGCCTTTACAGTATACACTATTCTTTTCAAAAGAGAACCTACCAAAGGGGATAATGTTCATCTTCATTTTTGCCAAACACAACCTCTCGGAGATGTTCGTAAGTGACCATCCGACCTCCGGAGTACACTGTAAAATAGGTCATTAAAGAAAGGCAAGTTCAGCTCTCTGCTTAATACAGCAAGAGGACACTCTGACCCACTGTGTCCCTCTGTAGCCGGGTACACACTCCCGACACAGGGCTTTCTGGGTATTTCTCCAGCCAGTGCGTGGCCCCTGGGTCTCAGGCCTTCCTGTTCATCATCTCATCTCTCTAGAACAGCTTTTCCCTTCTCTGCTGTGCTAACTCTACTGTATCTTTCAGGACCCAACTCGAAGAATATGCTTTTCAAAAAGTGCTCTCTCGCCTTTCCCCTAGATGCTTACGGCCAGCACAACAGGCTCTGATGTGGCAATGATCACACTGATTAGCAGTCAACTTGTCCTTGCTCCACGGGACATAAGCAGGCAGGCTCTGCATGTCTGCACTGCGTCAAAGGCCCTGGTTCACAGCTTGGCACACAACAGGGATTTTTACTGAGTAAACAGAAAATCTCCATGAAAAATGTATTACACTAACATGTTTTTTTCAGTCAGGTTTCAAACATGTGAAATGAAAATTGTAAAAAGATGTACCAGCAAAAACACAAATGAAAAGAAACAAAACTTAGAGCAATAATGAAAGACAAATATTCTAAAAGATGGAGCATCAGCTTACTAAAATCAACTCATGGTATTCACCCAGAGAACTTTTCTTAGTGTTTCAGGAAGTTTAACTTTATATTTTAAGATAATCAAAAATATATAAAGTGCAAAACAGTAACTGTCTGCACAACTCTGGCTCAAATGAAGATGCTCCAACTTTCTTAGCTGAAAAACTAATCTTTAAAAATACTAAGCCATACACATTAGAACTCAGCACTTTTCTGACCAAAGGTCACTGCACACCTATGGGACCGGGAAGGTGGAGGAGAAAGCGCTACTCCTGCTCAGCTCCCTCAGAAGCCCAGTTTGTTGCCCTGCCCACGAGCTGGCACATTAATGACTGGAAGTCTCTTCAGGAGCAGAGGAAGAGATGCTATCCTTGGTGTCACTGCCACTGTCCTGCCATAGTTACGAGCAATGGTCTCCAAACCTAGTTAGGCAGAAGCCGCCTTGGTCACATTGAGCTTGTGGCTAGAGCTGACTCAGACAGGAAGCCCTGTTCTCTTTCACACAGCCTGCGTACTGACGGGTGGCACAAAGACTCATGAGACTTGGCCTTGTCATAAGCAGTTCTCAAAGAACAAAAAAACATTAAATTTTGTGGTTAACATTTATCAAATAGAGGAAAATGATATCGATTGTTATGCCTTTAAAAATTTTTACTATCAAGGGCCGGCCAAATAGCTCAGTGGATTAAAGCACCTACAGGCAGCCGTAGGGGCCGGGGGTTGGGGTTTGATCCCCGGACCTGCTGTGCTGGCCCTGCCCCCAGGGCACGCTGAGATGGCAATTGAGACTGGGTATGGTGGTGCATGCCTGTAATCCCAGCCTTGGGAGTCTGTAAACAGGAGAATCACTACAACTCCGATCTAGTAGTGAGACCCTGAACACCCTCTAGACCCATACCTAAAAATACAGAAAAAAAAATTTTACTATGAAAAATTTCCATCATACAGGAAAGCTGAGAAAATGATATTATAACTCTCTTTATATCTATTAAAACTTATCAGTTACTAGCACTGTGGAACAAGGTGCTTCTTTTTTTTCCTTACTTATTGTAAAGTACTTTACAGACACCCCAATAGCTTATCCCTCAACACTTCAGTATACATTTATAAAACCTGAAGGGAGTAATTCCTTAATAACAATTGGTAGTTCATTTTTTTTTCTTCCAAAAACATCCTATGTTCTTTGATTAGATCCGTAGGGGATAAAAGCCCCTGGCTAGTTTCTGAATACAGTTAGAAAGCAGAGGAGAGGAACACAGAACTCATAACAAACTTACCAGCCAGAATCAAGATAAATACCTACGTGTCTGTAAATGGCGGGTGTCACTCCTTGCCAGAGCTTTAGAAAGCCTTCCTCCTGGACAATTCCTAGGGCCGTGCGAACCATGCCCCTATAGGGGGCAGATTCTCTTGCACTGTCTCCCAACCGTGCCAAAGCAGCTTCTCCTTGCATTTGCAGTCGAGTTTTTGTGAGATCGAGGGGAAAGGTTGCTAACAAAAAAGAACACATGAGGGGAAAACCCCCACAACATTCAGAGAAACCAACAACAAATTCTAAAGGCATCGGACTAATGTTTTCCCAAAACTGATGAGAGCTTACAGTCATTTGATTCTGAGCACTCCTAAATGTAACAATCACTGCACCAGATTATCCCAGATTACCAGTAAGAAAGAAACAATGAAAGTGTGACAACCCTTGAGTTTGTAATTCAGAAAGTTCAGACTAAAATCTACTTTAAAACTTTGCTTGCCAATGAGAAATAAAGTACCTATTTTCTGTGGTGGACCCAGCTGCAGCCATGGTATTCAAAATCCGACTTTAGAAAGTGAACTATATATTTTTACATACTACAATAAAATGAAGCCTGAATGCCATAATTCCATGGGTGCCTGCAGATACCAATGAGCCTGTTTGTGGCATAGACGATCTAACAGATATTATAATATTTTCTTTCATGCACAAGGGTTGTATGCTCAATATTTTTTCAGTTAAATGATATATTAAAGTGTTTGTCCGCTACTGGTAAGTTTTGTGCATGGTCTTCGAAAAACATCTGTAGAAAACTGTCTTTGTATTTCGAATTAGAAATAGACCTTTTGGGGGCTGGGGAGATGGCTCAGTGGAATAAGTGCTTCCCTGGCAAGCGCACGGGTCTGAGTTCAATCCCCAGTGCCGCAAAAAAAAAAAAAAAAAAAAGAAAAAAGAAAAGAAAAGAAAAGAAAGAATTAGACCTTTTATTGTCCAGCAATTAAGCTACCTGACCCACATAAGGAATACAAAGCTCTTAACTGTATACAATGTCCTAAATAACTGAAATAATGACATTCAGAAAAGTTTGGGAGCATTACTGACATTATGTAAGACTTTTCAGTGAACATGCTTTCTCTAAGAGAAAGAACAAGGAAAGAGCAAAAGAATATTACATCTTACTATTTGCTTTGGTAAGTTAATATCTTGCCAACAGGCTCCCTAAAACAAAAATAACTTGTATGCAGAGGCTTCATAGAATTTTGCATTACATATGATCCTAAAAAATAAATCTGAAGAAACAGAAACCCCTACTTAAGCACAAATGAGACCTCTCAAGCAATTTTTTCTCCTCCTTTCTGGTCACTTCATGTTTCAAGTTCTTAAGTGAATCCACTTGTACTCAAAACCATCCTATAGTTTGATTCTCTGGCTTCCCATCCACATTCCCCACACAGTTCTCTCCATGAATTCTTAACAGGAGGAGAGTTCTTGTATAAAAGCCATTGAGTCACAGAGAGAAACATCAGTTTAAATAAACCTGGAAATACATCTGGTACTCAGCCATCCTATTTTAGAGTTCTTTAAAAGATCTTTAGATTCCTTTGTTTCAGTAAGAACAACGAAAAGTAAAAATTTTCTATCAGCTTTGAGGGGAGATGAGAACATCAAGAAGCCAAAGGGCAAGAGTGCAAAGTACAAAGAACAAAACAACAGAACACCGCTGGCTGTGGGAGCAGAAAAGGAAACCACATTAGATCAGAACTGCCATGGATTTACAAGGGGCAAATGCATCAAGAGGTACCTTTATTTCGTTACTTCTTAATGAGCAAGGAAATGTACAAGTAATTCTGAAATGCATAGTTAAAAATCCCTAGGAAGAAACACCACTGGCTTATGTAAAGGAACCATAATCCCACTCTACGTGGTCTCAGATTTTCTCTGACTCACGGAGATGTGACTGTTCTAAGCTCTTATGAGATCTGGAAACAGCTTCAACATAATAAGCAGCACACTGTAACTGTCTTTCTCTGCATGACCTCCTGCCCCCAGCAGCCTGTAAGAAGGTCAAATCAGGGTCCTTTCAATCACCCGACCTTAACCCTAGTCCTGCAGACATCATGTCACAATCCATTGGTTTCCGGCCCTGGATTTAGCATTTATGTATTCTCGGCTTCTCACTAACCTCCCTTAGGGTAAACAGGGTATGGATAAGTTCAACTCACAGAGGTCAGGTGACTGGCAGGTGCTAAGGAGCTGCTCAGTAATGAATGGTTAATAACTAACACTCCACAAGACAGGTCTACAGCTTGGACCACAAAGACACAGTGATCTCACGACAGAGATGAACAGGATGAACAGATGAACAGGACCAACCCCTCCACCCATCTTCATTCCCAACAAGGAGGAAGAGTGGATGCTTTTCAGAAGGGTCATCCTGACAAAAGGGAAGATGACCGCCGAAGAGGATGTAGAAGTTTCCCTCAGGCACAGGAGCACTCCTGAGGCCCCTGCGAACCCCAAGAAGAAAGACTGCAGGGAGGGTCCTAAGCCCTGGGCCTGTCCAGGCCTTCCCAACCCAGGGGTGAAGCCCAGGCCGCCTCCATCTTTTCTTCCCTCCTTCCCTACATCTATCCATCCATCCTTCTCCATCTCTCCACCCCTTCCTCTCTCTCCATCTCACCATCCACCACTCCACCCCTCCATCCTTCCTGACACCCATACCTCCACCTCTTCATCCCTCCAGTCACCCTTCCATCTTTCCTATCACCTCTCCTTTCCTCCAACCCTCCGTCCCTTCCATCCATTTCTCCTTCCTTCCCTCCATTCACCCCTCCATCCGTCCTTCCACCCCTCTATCCATCCTTCTCTATCCCCTCCCCCCCATCCCTCCCGCAACGACGCAGCAGCCGCCCGACGGAAGCCCGTACCTAGCTCGGCCACGGTGGCCGCGCAGCCTGACAGCAAGAATTTGCTCGCCCGAGGCCATCGCTGCGCAAGCGGCGAGGGCGAGTCCTCGTCTTCCGGGACGGACATCCAGCGAGGAGGGTGGGACAGCGGCGCGAGTCAACCGGCCAGCAGGTTCCGAGGGACATCGCCCCTGGGAGCCGTCCAGCGTGGTGCCCGGACCCCGGGGGCTTCTGGGAGGTGGAGTCCGCACCTCGCGCGTTCTGATTGCCCGGACGGTCTCCTTGGTAACCGCGCCTGCGCACCTCTCCCGATTGGCTGTTCCAAGAAGCGGAAGTGGGCGGCAGTGAGGATGCTGGAGGCCCTCAGGTGTCTAGGGACGGCCGGGAGATAGTTGCCGCTGTGCGGCGCGGCATCCACGACCGAGACGCGGTCCTCCGCTCTTCAGACCCGGGAGGATGAGCGAGGACCTGCACCCGGGCGTGGCCGCGCTGGCGGCGCTCCTGGCCGGCGTCGCGCTGCTCCTGGTCCTGAGGCGCAGAGGCTCGCGCCGGCCCCCGTGCACCGCGGGCTGGATCCCCTGGGTGGGCGCGGGGCTGCGGTTCGGGAAGGCCCCGCTGGAGTTCATCGAGCAGGCTCGGGCCCAGGTAGGTGCGGGCAGGACTCGGGAGCGCACGTCCAGGCTGATTTATTTTCTCTGCTTTGCTGGGAATTAGCAGCCTTCTTCACGCCAGGTTTGGAGAAAAATACAAAGTGCCCCGAAGGGACTGGACAGACACAAAATATATACCAGCATTGCATACATATACCAACTCCCCACGAGGGCTGTAGACATTATGCACGAACGAATACACAGGTCCCAGAAACAAAACTTTGCTAATAAAACAGATCAACTTCAGTTTGGGTCTGCCTTAGTGGAAGAAGAGATTAGCCTTTAAGTGCTAGTTACTTCGCACAGTTAAATTCCACGTGCACTTATACTAAGTAAATGTTTGCAATAATTTCGAACGACATAAGTGTACTACGATTGGAATTTGTGAAAGCCCCAAATGGAGTTAACGTCAGGGTATTGTGAAAATTACTTCCAAAGTTGGTGTTTGCAAATTTCAGGGGCAGTGTTCTTTGAGCTGGTGGAGTTATTGAGGACAGCGAGCCTCTATTTTCACTGCACCCTCATGAATGGTTCTTGAAATGGATATTTTTGTCCTTACAGAATCTTTCTAGTGGGACCGGCAGATGGCTCAGTGGAGTAAGTGCTTCCCTGGCAAGCGCAAGGGCCTAAATTCAATCCCCGTTTAGGCTAAAAAAAAAAAAAAAAAAAAAAAAAAAGAAAGAAAGAAAGAATCTTTCTAGGGACACAAAACACTTTAGGGAACAGACAT